ATCCCCACTCGGTAGTCACTAAGAACGGGTTGGTGCTGTGTGAACTCCACCCGACAGTCATGAAGAGTGAGATGGTGCTGTGTGAACGCCATCCGGCCGTGCCTCCGGTAAGATGAGGTCATGACGTTTAGTAGGAAACAACAGAAAATGTGAGGAAAGAATTAAGAGAAATACATACGGGGATAAACAGATAGAGGGTTTTACTTACTGAGCATTATTTTGTGCTCACCCCGTTATTTTCCTTTGTGGATGCAGGATCTAGGTGATGATGCAGTCGAAGGGGCGTCGGCAAGCGAGGAGCAATAGCTACACTGTTTCCCCTGTTTTTGTCTTTTAAAATGGTTTTTTTTTTTTTTTGTAAATGATGCTCTTTGTGTATAAAAGACGTATTACTTATAATAAAAAGAAAAGTTTTGGGCCCATTTTCTATTGTTATTATGCATGCATTGTACTAGATTACAGCAATTGTTACATCTTTTGAATTGAAAAATGGAGTATTTCTCCAACATATCGAAAACATCGAATGTTTGTTGATTTTGAATAAACTTCTCCAATTTCTAGATGCCAGGTTCCTTCACATATATTTTACCGAGATTCTGGTGGGGGATTGTAGCTTTTGTCCATCGTGTGGGTAGTCCACCCCAACCTTTTTTGCAACCCAACAGAAAATATCTATCACTCCATCCTTGCACTTTATTTGATAATCTAGTTAACAGTACTCGACCTTTTCTACCTCAATAAAATAAAATGGACTATTCGGCCTCTTTTTCAATACATAGAAGTAGCTAAAAATATAAAACATCGGTAGAATATCATGCATTAAACACAGACTTTCAAAACCCAAAATTAATCTCCAGGCATTGGGATGGAGCTGAGTGGGTGCAACGTTATAAAAAATCATGACTTCTTCCACAAACAAAGAGAAAGTAGGCATAAGACCACACTGGAGAAAAATTTCAAAAAAGGTGAAAAGCCCAGGAGGGGTCCCCAAATTTATAAAAGATTTAAAACCATTGCATGGTAATAAATCAAAATCGTTGGCGATATTGTAATGTTTTTGAAATTGCAAAAGATCGGTATAGGTAACTGTACTAGGAATTTCTATGTGTGACACTGTCAGACAGGAAAATGAGATATAGATAAAACCCAATAGGAAAGACTAAAATTACCTACAAATTGTTGGTTGATGCAAGTAAAAACAAAGTTGAACAATAATATGAGTTGATAAAAACAATCAATTTTGAAGTGCAGCTGTGATTACAAAGTCAACGATAAAATGGCCTTAATCCCTAATTTGCTTTTAAAGACAATGAACATTTTAAACGGTGATGTTTTAACCAAGCCGAAGATGTCCAACTCCGAATATAATTATACCTGATAAAAATATAATTAATTATGAACTTCATGGTTTCATTATTGTTTAAAAAAAAATACATAAAGATTTCAAAATATAAAGATATATCGAACTATTAATTTCCCAATGATCTATTTTGTAAAATTTAATTTGCTCATTAATTTATTGCTCTTAATAAACTACAAGTGAGATGAATCTGATCCTATAAATAAATTATGAGGTATAATATGAGGCATTTATAAATACATATATAAATAGTTATGTGAATTTCAACAGACTCATACATTGTAAATGTTATAGAATATTGTGTTTGACTGGTTATTGAAATTAATAACATTGCTATATATATATATATATATATATATATATATATATATAGAGAGAGAGAGAGAGAGAGAGAGAGATATTCATCTGAACGTTAGACTGGTATTATTTTATGTATGGTGTGTTTGATCTACTTTAAGGTTTACATTTTCTTTTTTCTTTATATCATACTGCTTTTGTTTCATAAATAATTTATGCATAATAATATTTACATCCTTCTTACAATTTTATTTCTCTTACATCTTTATTTTATTGTTCGTTAACGTAGATATATACAATTGGATGAAACGATTGCTCCTTATAGTTACAATGTGGTTCCTATTAAAGGTAATGAATATATTCTTTCTGTGAACTATTTTTTACAATTGTTAAATTGAATATTGATTGTGATATCAGATTCAAATAACTCAAGTTTTTATGCAAGTGAATTTGACAATCCTAATTTGTGAAAATATTTATATAAATTCTTGGAAAACCATTAAAGAACAAACTCAAATTTCATGATTAATCATAATTTTTCATTAGAATTGTAATCAATTAAGATTTCCATAAGATCAAAATTTAATTGATGAACCATTTATTTGTATATAATGGGCTTGTAGAATTGTGACGAGTTAAGAAGAACACCATAATATAAGTATAATTGTAATAAATGCAGGTATGTTTTTCGTTTAATGTCAGAGTCGAACATATTCTCAGTTGTCAAACCAACAAATGGATGATGTACTTTTGATAGACCATTGTCGAACCAACAACTTATTCATATTTGTAATAATAAATGTTTCCTTTGTTTGGAAATCTCTTTATTGCCGAGCCATCTTAAAGTGTGGCTGTAACAGATGAAGCTCTGTTTCGATTCAAATCTTGCTGCAAGATCATAATATTCTATGCTATAAAGTTTTAATAAAATAGTTGTCCATCCATAAATTTACATAAAAAAACTGTAGTAAATCATTTGTTATCAATTTTTACATACAATTAAAAAAATATGAACTTGACAGAGGTGAAAAAAAGAATGCAATTAACACAATATATTTTTTGTTTTGGTCAAGTGCAAGATTATAAAATGGTTCTTACGGATGAAGATGTAGCAACTATATAGTCATACATTCAGGAATTATATTTGCAAGTGATTGAAAACTATAAATTGGCCTATGATTCTGGACAAATAAGTATCGTTGATTTCAGAACAAAAGAATGAAAGGAGAATAGAAAATTGAGAATGTTTATATGGAACAAAAAAAGGCCTAGATTTCCAAAGCAAGTCAGAAAGTCAATCTCCAAAAAGTAAAAAAGGTATATTTAATATTAGAACTTCATATAATTATTACGTAAAGAGTAAACGAGTTCAGTCTATATCTTTGTTCTTTTAGTTATTCATGAACCATAAATTGGTGTTTTGACGTATGAATTTCACAGCAAAATGATCCATCATAAAGTATCCAACAAAAGTAACTACCTCATTTATTTTGTTATAGTCATACAAATATTTTGTATATTACATGGTTGAGTAAATCAGTTTTTGTTTTCTTTAATGATATAATTTGTTATGTAACATAGTCTCAATCATAAAACTTGTGTATCGAAGACAAAGAAAGATCCAATAATTTCTTTAAATGCTTCTACAAATATAAATGAGATATTCAATTACTGTTTTTGCCTTTTGGTTAAGCTTTTCAATTATATAATTTGTTGCATGGTATAGTATTAATTCTGTTATTATTATTTTTAAATTCAAATGAGAGATCTAAAGAACATAAAAAATGTGTATCAAACATAAAGAAGGGTTCTACAAGTTCTTCAAATGCTTTTGTAAATGTAAATGAGATACGTGAGGAAAATATAACAGAGAGAATGTTCGTATTAAAAAGGAAGAGAGGTAAAAAATATTATATTAGTGGCTACCTATAATTTTTAGATTATGATAACTTAAATTGACTAACTAAATCTATGTTTTCCAGGTGCTTCTCCGTGTGTAAAGCCTGACTCTTATATTCCAATTACTAATGCAGAACAATACAATCATGAGCCCTGAATCTGACAACATACGTTTAAACACTTAGTTTGTTATATCTTAAAAACATAATGTTATTTCATTACTTTGTAAAAATAAAGGTGCAGAACTTTGCCGAACAATTTTGACATTGCAAGTGTTGTTGAAAATTGTGATGATCTTTTTTTATTATTTTCATTTTGAGGTCAGACATTGAAAAAACAAAATAAATCTTTATCAAAGACAAATAGAGGTTCGAATCTCGCTCGACAGAAAGAGGTAACAAGTGTCACATTGTTAGTTAGACATATTTAAATGTTAACTCAAATATTAAACTTAGTAAAAAATGTCATTATGAGTTTCTAAATTAACAGAATAAGTCAATTACTTTCCAAAAATAGCATGTTATTTCTTTGCACAATGGAAAAAGAGTCCTCGAACTTTGGTGAACCATCCTACAAGCGCATTCATTGTGGATCAGTCATATGGTATGAAGAACGAACTGTTAAGAACCAAGACCCATCCATCCCTTTGTTTTCATTATGTTGTATGGATGGCAAAGTTCAGTTGCTGTTATTGAAAGAATCACCAGAACCATTAAAAGGTGTATTGGATGTGTCCAGTGGTAACAAAGGGATTAGTTTCAGGAGAAAAATAAGAATATACAATTCATTGTTTTCATTTACATCAATGGGAGGGCATGTTGACTATGAGATTAACTAAGGGGGTGGTCCATATTTTTTCAAACTCTGCAGACAAAATTACCACCGAATAGGATTATTACTTCCACCTGAAGGAAGGAAACCTCAGTTTGCACAGCTTTATATTTATGACATAGAGTATGAAACCAGTCATAGATTAAATTATAAACGAGATAATAAAGAAGATGATACTATTGAAAAAAAATTAGTATAGGAATTGCAATTGATGTTTGATGCGAACAATGAATTGCTTAAAAGTTTTCGTTCTGTCAAGAACCATATCCATTGGAATGATATTAGAGATGTACATTTGCGGTCAAAAATGAATAGGGAAAAGGATGGAAGACAATGCAATTTGCCAACTACATGTGAAATTGTGGGTTTAATTGTTGGTGATATTGGAATTTTAGAAATTGGAAAAGATGTCACTGTTCATCATTCGAAAAAGGGTCTTCAAAGAATTTCTAACTTGCATCTAAGTTTTATGGCATTAAGTTATCCAATATTATTCCCATATGGTGAAGATTGATATAGAATTGACATTAACCATAAAGACTTTTGTTAGGAAAGATTTCGTTGGATTAGAAACAATGAGAAAAAATTGAGGAGTGATTTGTACATCGGGTTGATGGATGCCATTTCAAAGGATGATGTTAATGCACAGCATCTAGGGAAATCTATGTTGCTCCCTTCATCTCACACTGGCAATCCCCGATATCGTGTTCAGAATTATCAAGATGCAATGGCGATTTGTAGATATTATGGATATCCAGATATTTTTCTAACATTCACCTGTAATCCCAAGTGGCCGGAGATACAATATCTACAGAATTGTATTGGACAATGTGATCAAGAAAGTAGAATAACTGCAGTTTGCAGAGTTTTTGAGATCAAATTGCTTGAGCTAATGCGAGAGATAAAAAAAGGTGAATATTTTGGTGAAACAGTGGCAAGTGAGTATTCCAACGAATAATATTTCTACTTTCTTTAGAAATTGTAGTTCATTGATAATTTATGATATGAAATTATGTTATACCAACTATTGCTGAACACGTTATAATTGTTTCTGTCAGTTATCTACACTATCAAGTTCCAAAAGAGAGGCCTCCTACATGCTCATATATTGGTTTCTCTACATTCCCAATATAAGAATCCTTCGGCATTCAAAATAGATGAAATAGTTTCTGCTGAAGTTTCAAATAAGGAAACTGATGGTGTTGTATTTGCAGCTGTCGAGAATCACATGATCCACAATCTGTGCGGTGATGTTAACAAGAATTCACCATGTATGGAGAAAGGAAGATGTAAAAAACATTTTCCAAAGAAATTTGTCAATGAAACATCTATGGATGACAACAGATACCCAATGTATGGAAGATGGAATAATAGAGCATTTGTTGAGAAAAAGGGTATCAAATTGGATAACTGTTTTGTTATTTCTTATAATAAGAATCTTTTGGTTAAGTTTGATGCTCACATAAATATTAAGATAGGTAATAAACATAGATCAATCAAGTATCTATTCAAGTATGTCAACAAAGGGCCGAACAGAACAAAAGTTTCTATGGAAATTGAAAACAATGGTCAACAGAAAAATCAATGCGAGATTTTACAGGACAAAGACGAAATAAAGGCATATATGGACTACAGGTATGTACAAAATACATCAAATATAATGTTTTTATATTGTTTGTTGATATTTGTTATAAATATGATATTAAGTAATTGAATAAAAAACATTATAGATATATCTCTTCTATGGAAGCTTGTTGGAGGATATTTAACTTTGACATGTATTACAGAGAACCAGCTATTGAAAGACTGCCATTCCATTTAGAGAACGAACAAACAGTTATTTTTTATTTTGGTTCAACTTTTGGAAAGCAAGGTTGTTATGCAAATTGACTGACTGGATGAAGTGTAATCAACGATACCATTCTGCAAGATCATTGATTTATCCTGATTTTCTGAGTGAATGGGTTTGGAAGGATACAGAAAGACAATGGTCCCCACAACAAAAATCAATGTGTATTGGCAGGGTGTATTTTGCATTCCCAGGTAGTGGTGAGAAATATTATTTGCTAATGCTTCTGAACTTAGTAAGAGGAGCAACATCATTTGAAGATATTCGAACTATCAACGGAGAAATATCTACATTCAAAGATGCATGTTATGCATTAGAATTGCTCGATGATGATAAAGAGTGGAATGATTACTTGGATGAAGCATCAATGTGGGCTACCGAAAGACAGTTAAGACAACTCTTTGTAACTATTCTTGTATATAATGAAGTGGTGAGTCCAAGAGACTTATGGAGAGCAAATGCAGAACGCCTATCTAAAGACATTCCCTACATTCTTAAACAGAAAATGTGGATGATAGAATTGAGATGCACTGAGGAATAGGTTCACAATCATGCATTGTTCGAGATTGAAGAGCTCATGAAAAATGGAGGAAAATCCTTGGCTGATTTCCCTAGAATGCCTATTCTGGACTATTCCGGTTTTGAGAATTCACATAATAGATTAATTGTTGAAGAATTAGATTATGATATTGACAACATGAAAACAGTGCACAATGATTTATACAAGGGTCTCAACAAATGCTAGAGACGCGTATACGAATTGATCCTTGATTCTGTCAACAATCAAAGTGGAACACCATTTTTTGTTTACGGACATGGTGGAACAGGCAAAACCTTCATATGGTTAACAATCATGGCCAAATTAAGATCCAAGGGTAAAATTGTACTGGCTGTAGCTACATCAGGAATTGCTGCATTATTGCTATCCGATGGAAGAATAACACATTCATGTTTTCGATTTCCTTTAGATATCACTGAGGAAAGTACATGTGATGTCAAAAAAGGGACACAATTGGCAAAACTACTTGCACAAATAGCTTTGATCATTTGGGATGAAGCACCCATGGCAAATAGGTATTGCTTTAAAGCTCTTGACAGAACTCTGAAAGATATTTTGTTTGAAAAAGATGAATCAAATGCATATAGAATATTTAGAGGCCTCACCGTTGCTTGGGTGGTGATTTCAGACAGATTCTACCAGTTATACCAAAAGGGAAAAAATATGACATAATACAAGCCTGTTTATAGTCATCTTCCCTTTGGAAGCATGTAACAGTGTTGACACTTACAAAGAACATGAGGTTGAAGACAAACTTGGTGAACCCAACAGAATTGGATAACTTGAAGACTTTTGACAAATGGTTACTTAATATCGGAGAAGAAAGGGACGTTGCAGAAGATGAAAGTTACATCCAAATACCTAAAGACTTGAAAATTGATCAACATACCAGGCACAAAGAAACGATTATGAATGATTTTTTCCAGATTTATCTACTCAGATAAATAATATTGATTATATGAGAGAGAGAGAGAGAGAGAGAGAGAGAGAGAGAGAGAGAGAGAGAGAGAGAGCAATATTGACACCCAAAAATGAAACAATACATAGAATGAACGACTATATCACCCAGAGTCTGCCAACAGATGGAAAGACGTATTTAAGCTTAGACAGCACTTGCAAAGCAGCATGTATCTCAAACAATGATGACATTCTCTATCCCACCGAATTTCTTAATTCTCTTATGTGCTCTGGCATGTCCAAACATGGATTGCATTTGAAAATTGGCATACTAATTATGTTGCTGCATAATTTGAATCAATCCGATGGTCTTTGCAATGGAACCAGATTGATCATAACCCAATTAGGAAAGTGGTCCATACAAGTAATGATTATCACTGGGTCAAACATTGGGGATATTGTCACAATTCCCAAAATAATAATGTCAAATGCAGATATGAAGTGGCCTTTCAGGTTGAAGAGAAGATAGTTGCCTGTGATAGTTAGCTTCTGTATGACAATAAACAAAAGCCAGAGTCAATCACTCAAAACAGTAGGATTGTATATGAAACATCAAGTTTTTACACATGGTCAATTGTATGTGGCACTATCAAAAGTAACTTCAAGACAAGGTATCAAGATTCTGCTAGCCCTGCAAGAAGATGAACTGGCAGAGACATTGACAAATATTGTTTTAAAAGATGTCTTTAACTATAGGGATTAATATGTTCTATATTATATAAATAATTGTTTATAACAGAAAGGATTGATACATTGTATATAATATAAGACATTGTTTGTGAGAGATTGATGTGAAAAATTAAACATATTTATATGAATATGAAAAGGTCACGTTAAATGTTTAAATAAATACAGTAATATAATTTACTTGATGCAAAGATATTTATATGGTTTATATTATTATTGCCAAATATGATGAACACTACATTGAATGTATTATCTGTTATAAATACATATTTTTTACACATGCAATTGAACTATAAACTATCACGTGATAGGCATCATCAAGATATTTAACATTAATATTACAATTAAACAGTTTAAATATTTACAGAAATAACATTACATAAACTGGAGATTTTGCTTCACGTACACAAAAATTAGCATCAACTAAATACATCCACGTCCATGATAATAACACAATTATAAACACTTGTGAGCCAAATTTTGACAAAATATTGTGAAAATGCTTAACAAATGGTTTAAATATTTACAGAAGTGCTATTAAGTGGACTAGAGAAAAGTACAACAACACTGCAATCAATATAATCAAAATTAGATGGCATCTCCTCATTTTTCAACACAATTGTCTCTAAAAAACTAGAATCTTCATTTGGGAATCTATGCTTAAATTCTTTGACACAAGCTTTTCTAGTGGCCAAAAACATTTCTGACACCGAATCATAAGCCTCTTCTTTATCTTTCTCAGCTTGTGTAATTAAAGATTTAATCTTATTATTTTCTTTAGACAATTCATAACTTTTCTTTTTAAAGACTTCCTTTTGTTGCCGCTCATTTGCAAAAGACTCTTCAGCATTTCTAAATGATTCTTGACAGTGTTTCAATTTGGTTTTGACCTTTTCAAATGCATCCTTTGATATTTTCAACTGTTCTTTCAATCTCCGAACCTTGGCAATCACATCTTCATTTTGTTTTGTCAAATCTGCGACCACATCTTCTGAAACAAGCCAACGTTCTCCAATTTCTAAGAAACCTTCATAAGCCTATTTCAAAAACAATGAAATCATCTTAACATTATCATGCCATAAGTATATATTCACATGATATAGTGAAAAAACATTACCTCTTTCCCTAGACCGAAAGTTTTGATGTCTAGATCTTCTTTACAATGATTTTTCCATTTTCGTTCAGCATTTGTATTTGGACCCTGTTGCTGAAAAGTTTTTTGCTGTTTCACCAATTAACGTAATGGAATTTCTTCTGACTGATTATCTTCTTCTTCAGTCAATTTAACATGGCAAGAACCAGAATCAGGTTTCACAGGATTGGAGACTGATGATGTGTGTTTCCTACAACATGCAATATGTAGCAAGTATACTAATCGCACAAGTAATAGAGTGATGAGTGAGTATCGTTCCCACGAGGATAGTGTTACTAAGTACCGATTTTCCTAGTTTAAGTCCTAATTAAAGCAACAATAAATTGGATTGATGGAAAATTAACAACTAAATACAAATTAACAAAATATAAATGAATGATAATGAAATTAAAGCAAAACCCAACAACTTAACTAATTTAACAATGCTAAAAAAAATGCTTGGGTGTTGATTTCACCTAGATACGCTAACCCAAATCATAGAATCTATTACCCAAGTTCTAATTCCTTGATTGAAAATCAAATTCCCTAAGTTGTAAAACATACCTTCTCAGGCTACATTTCCCTACTTATCCCTATTAAGCTTCCGCACCCAACAAATTGAAGATTAATAGTTCAAAGTCTTTTAAGCTTTATGGAATTCTATCTAGATTTCATAGATCGCTAAACCTATCTCTAGCGTTTGCTTAATCTACGGTATTTATCCCAAGAGGCACAATCACAAATCACTTCTCAGTCTCATTGTGAACAACACACATTTGAATGGTGATCAAGCATCCAAAAGACATTAAGCAAAGAGATAAACACTCAATCATGAAATTAAAACTCAAAGTAATTCAATCCATATAAATTTGAATCATTGTATCAAGATTACATCAAACCCTAGCTAAACAACTCAGTTCATACTCAAAAACGAAATAAAACAACAAAAACAAACTGAATCAAGATTCATCATTGAAAAACAAGCAAAAGATGGAGAAATCTTCTCTAATTTGAAGCCCAAATCTTCAATAATCTTCTCCTTCCATGAGCTGCCTCCCAAATGACGAACCAAGACCCCTTTTCTCTTCCTTTTCGCTCTAATTTATACCTCTCTCACTTAAGGACGAAGCCCTAGCAAGCCAAAACGCGTCGTTTTATTTTTAAATCTAACGCAGGTTTCGCCGCGATGAAGACTTTCGGGCCAAAAATGAGCATGATAGATTCTGAATCTGGAAAAGTGTTAAACATATGAATTGTAGCCCTTTAAATTATATTTCCAGTAGTTCAAGAATCAGCACAATAAAAGGCCTACAGCTCAAGTTATGGCAAAAATACTGAAGTACGTCCAAAGACATTTTTTCTTCAGTTCCCAGCGTACTTTTCACGACTTCAAGCCAAGTTTTCACCATTGTCCAGTCAGAATTAGGAAACACCCAAAACATGAAAGTTGTAGATCTTCTTCTTAAATTTCCAAAGCTTCTTAATTCAGGTCATTCCGAGTTTCCAAGCTCAAGTTATACAATTTACGCTCAAAACTGTCATTTATGCTTAAAATCATCGTTTAGGCCTACAAAGACAAATTAATAGAATTAGGTAGCAATTATGGCCCAAATTGAATGAAAAGTATCCTAAATCCTATCAAAATTCAATGCAAAATCATAGTGTAAAATATGATTATCAACTGATGTAGGTAAAACAGAAGTCTATACAAGCGTTAACAATTCTAACTTGGAATCACTGCTTGATGCTACTTTATACACTACTTCAGAATCAAGTCTTCGAATAAATTTCATCAAGTTTGTTGGAGCCATTACTACAATCAAAACAAACGACAGTATTACAATATATACTAAACATAACAACCGAATATACCACTGGCATTTCATAACATGGATTCATAAAACAATGACAGTATTACAATATATACTAAACACAATAAGATAATAAACAAAATCATAATGAGAAAAACACCAACTTCAGTAGTAGATTTATTGACGAGATAATATGCAACACGACTACCAGAACAACAGATAAACAACCTGAGCAAAACAAGCCAAATCATAATAAAAAACATATCAATTTCAGCAATAAAAAGACCGACAAAATAATATGCAACACAACTCCCAAAGAAACAAATAAACAACGTGAATACAATAAATTATCAGCACAACTATCTAAGAACAACATCTCATAACAATAATAACAA